CCTCTTACTTGTTGTTGCCACCTTCCTCATTTCCCATCTACCTCTTACTCTAACTGTAGCTACAACTAAATAATGATCCGATATATCAGTTGCCCCTCTATAAACATGTACATCCTGGAGCCTACCCATCAACCTTTTATCCACCAACACATAATCTAATGAACTACAGTGGACCCCCGGTTAACGATATTTTTTCACTCCAGAAGTATGTTCAGGTGCCAGTACTGACCGAATTTGTTCCCATAAGGAATATTGTGAAGTAGATTAGTCCATTTCAGACCCCCAAACATACACGTGCAAACGCACTTACATAAATACACTTACATAATTGGTCGCATTCGGAGGTGATCGTTATGCGGGGGTCCACTGTACTTTCATTACGTGCTACATCATACCTTGTATATTTATTTATCCTCTTTTTCATAAAATATGTATTACTTCTTTCAACGTACCAGCCGTATCCCACCGAGGTGGGGTGGCCCAAAAGAAAAAACTGAAGTTTCTCCTTTTAAATTTAGTAATATATACAGGAGAAGGGGTTACTAGCCCCTTGCTCCCGGCATTTTAGTCGCCTCTTACGACACGCATGGCTTACAGAGGAAGAATTCTGTTCCACTTCCCCATGGAGATAAGAGGAAATAAACAAGAACAAGAATTAGAAAGAAAATAGAAGAAAACCCAGAGGGGTGTGTATATATATGCTTGTACATGTATGTGTAGTGTGACCTAAGTGTAAGTAGAAGTAGCAAGACTTACCTGTAATCTTGCATATTTATGAGACAGACAAAAGACACCAGCAATCCTACCATCATGTAAAACAATTACAGGCTTTCGTTTTACACTCACTTGGCAGGACGGTAGTACCTCCCTGGGCGGTTGCTGTCTACCAACCTACTACCTACAATATGTATTACTTATTACCAAATCTATTTCTGCACATAGCTCAATTAAAGGCTCCCTATTTACATTTACCCCTGGCACCCCAAATTTACCTACTACTCCCTCCATAACATTTTTACCCACTTTAGCATTGAAATCCCCAACCACCATTACTCTCACACTTGATTCAAAACTCCCCACGCATTCACTCAACATTTCCCAAAATCTCTCTCTCTCCTCTACACATCTCTCTTCTCCAGGTGCATACACGCTTATTATAACCCACTTTTCACATCCAATCTTTATTTTACTCCACATAATCCTTGAATTAATACATTTATAGTCCCTCTTTTCCTGCCATAGCTTATCCTTCAACATTATTGCTACTCCTTCTTTAGCTCTAACTCTATTTGAAACCCCTGACCTAATCCCATTTATTCCTCTCCATTGAAACTCTCCCACTCCCTTCAGCTTTGTTTCACTTAAAGCCAGGACATCCAGCTTCTTCTCATTCATAACATCCACAATCATCTCGTTCTTATTATCTGCCCAACATCCACGCACATTCAGACTTCCCACTTTGACAATTTTCTTCTTCTTATTCTTTTTAGTAATCTTTACAGGAAAAGGGGTTACTAGCCCATTGTTTCCGGCATTTTAGTTGACTTTTACAACACGCATGGCTTACGGACGAAAGATTCTTATTCCACTTCCCCATGGATATAAAAGGAAAAGTAATAAGACCAAGAACTATTAAGATAAAGTCAAAGAAAACTCAGATGAGTGTGTATAAATAAACGTGTACATGTATGTGTAGTGTGACCTAAGTGTAAGTAGAAGTAGCAAGACTTACCTGTAGTCTTGCATATTTATGAGACAGACAAAAGACACCAGCAATCCTACCATCATGTAAAAACAATTACAGGCTTTCGTTTTACACTCACTTGGCAGTACGGTAGTACCTCCCTGGGTGGTTGCTGTCTACCAACCTACTATAATTTTTGCACTCTCTTTTGTCCCCTTTGCCTTTATACAAAGGAACTATGCATGCTCTCTGCCAATCCCTAGGTACCTTACCCTCTTCCATACATTTATTAAATAATTGCACCAACCACTCCAAAACTATATCCCCACCTGCTTTTAACATTTCTATCTTTATCCCATCAATCCCGGCTGCCTTACCCCCTTTCATTTTACCTACTGCCTCACGAATTCCCCCACACTCACAACTGGCTCTTCCTCACTCCTACAAGATGTTATTCCTCCTTGCCCTATACACGAAATCACAGCTTCCCTATCTTCATCAACATTTAACAATTCCTCAAAATATTCCCTCCATCTTCCCAATACCTCTAACTCTCCATTTAACAACTCTCCTCTCCTATTTTTAACTGACAAATCCATTTGTTCTCTAGGCTTCCTTAACTTGTTAATCTCGCTCCAAAACTTTTTCTTATTTTCAACAAAATTTGTTGATAACATCTCACCCACTCTCTCATTTGCTCTCTTTTTACATTGCTTCACCACTCTCTTAACCTCTCTCTTTTTCTCCATATACTCTTCCCTCCTTGCATCACTTCTACTTTGTATAAATTTCTCATATGCTAACTTTTTCTCCCTTACTACTCTCTTTACGTCATCATTCCACCAATCGCTCCTCTTCCCTCCCGCACCCACTTTCCTGTAACCACAAACTTCTGCTGAACACTCTAACACTACATTTTTAAACCTACCCAATATTATCCCGATGCCAAATGACTTCAAAAAGGCGATACATGACATGCCCATGCGCTCTGCCCCAGGCCTTGACTCCTGGAACTTTGTGTTCATCAAGAACTGCAAGAAGCCCCTGTTAAGTGCTTTTAACATTCTATGGAGAGGGAGCATGGACACAGGGATCGTCCCACAACTGCTAAAAACAACAGACATAGTCCCACTCCACAAAAGGGGCAGTAAAGCAATAGGAAAGAACTACAGACCGATAGCGTTAATGTCCCATATCATAAAAATCTTTGAAATGGTTCTAAGAAGCAAGATCGCCACCCATCTAGATACCCATCAGTTACACAACCCAGGGAAGCGTGGATTTAGAACAGGTCACTCCTGTCTGTCCCAACTACTGGACCACTATGACAGGGCCTTGAATGCTCATAAAGACAAACAGAATGCAGATGTAATATACACAGACTTTGCAAAAGTCTTTGACAAGTGTGACCATGGTGTAATAGCACACAAAATGTGTGATAAAGGAATAACAGGAAAAACTGGTAGATGGATCTATAATTTCCTAACAAATAGAACACAAATAGTAGTAGTAAACAGAGTAAAGTCTGAGGTGGCTACGATGAAAAGCTCTGTTCCAAAAGGCACAGTATTTGCTCCCATCTTATTCCTCATCCTCATATCTGACAGAGACAGGGATATAAGCCACAACGCCATGTCTTCTTTTGCAGATGACACTCAAATCTGCATGACAGTGTCCTCCATTGAAGACAGTGCAAGACTGCAGGGAGACATCAACCAACTCTTTAAATGGGCTGCAGAAAACAACATGAAGTTCAATGATGAGATATTTCAATTACTTCAATATAGAAAACATGAGGAAATTAAAACTACATTGGAAGATAAAATAAATTCCAACCACACAATAGAACGAAAAACTAATGTAAAAGACCTGGGAGTGATCATGTCAGAGGATCTCACCTTCAAAGACCATAACATTGTATCAACTGCATCTGCTGGAAAAATGACAGGATGGATAATGAGAACTTTCAAAACTAGGGAGGCCAAGCCCATGATGACACTATTCAGGTCGTTTGTTCTATCTAGGCTGAAATATTGCTGCACACTAACAGCACCTTTCAAGGCAGGTGAAATTGCTGACCTAAAAAATGTACAGAGAACCTTCACGGCACGCATAACTGAGATAAAACACCTCAATTACTGAGAATGCTTGAAGTTCCTAAACCTGTACTCCCTAGAATGCAGGCAGGAGAGATACATGATTATATACACTTGGAAAATCCTAGAGAGACTAGTACCAAACTTGCACACGAAATCACTCCCTATGAAAGCAAAACATTCAGCAGACGATGCAACATCCCCCCCAATGAAAAGCAGGGGTGCCACTAGCACGATAAGAGACAACACAATAAGTGTCAGGGGCCCAAGACTGTTCAACTGCCTCCCAGCATACATAAGGGGGATTACCAATAGACCCCTGGCTGTCTTCAAGCAGGCACTGGACAGGCACCTAAAATCAGTACCTGACCAGCCAGGCTGTGGTTCATATATCAGGTTGCATGCAGCCAACAGTAACAGCCTGATTGATCAGGCCCTGATCCACCATGAGGCTTGGTCACAGACCAGGCCATAGGGGCACTGACCCCCGGAACCCTCTCCAGGTATACTCCAGGTATATGTATGAGGATATACCAAAAGAAACCTAGCTGTCTTCACAAGAACTGGATATGTTTCTGATGAGCTAGGCCGTGGCACTTATGTTGGACTGTGTGCAGCTAGAATCAACAGCCTAGTTGACCAGCCCATCAACGAGGAGGCCTACCTGAAGTGTGTTCTGGGGTCAGTGCCCCCGCAGTCTGGTCCATGACCAGGCCTCCCAATGGATTGGGGCCTCATCAACCAGGCTGTTACTGCTGGCCAGAGGCAGTCCAACATATAAAACACAGCCAGGCTGGTCACAAACTGACTCTGGAAACAGACTCAGTTCCCTTTTGAAGACAGTTAGGGGGTCAACTGATAATATGTGGTGACGGTGACTTCCAAAATTATCTTCAAATATCCTTCAGTTATTTGAAAGGGTTGATCTCCAACTCCTGGGCCTTTTGAAGGCACTAAGTTACAACTCCTGGTACTCTTAGAGGGTGATGGAGGGTATAATGAGAGCAGGAGCTACCTCTCTTGGGCACATAGCAACCAAAATATATCTAGTTTTTGTAAAGTGCTATTCAAGAATTTCATTGTTTTGTACATCAGATTCAGCATATTTCTTCTTTTTGATATGAAAAGAATAAGTCATTAGACTTTATTTAAGCAAATTTAAAATTTAATTTTAGTTGAAATTCACTGTATATATAAGATAAAAAAACATTACGACTTACCTCTGTTGTAGTTAATAACATCTTGCTTAAGAATTTCAGCTGCTAACTCCTTTAGTTTTTGTTTTGTATATGAGTCAGTAGACAAAGTCTCTGGCTCTTCAGTCATAAGCTTGAGAGAAAAAAATTAATTAATGCTTCAAACAAACAGATAATCAGGTGTTAGAAAAAAGAAAATGACAGCCATCTCTCTCACCCATCTAAGTTACCATCGGGTAATGGTTTGCTTGGCAAAGTACTGAATCTTATAGGTATGTGTGAGAGCATTGACTGCAATACACTGGGGAAGATGTAACTTCACACAAGGAAATTTTATATTATTACTATCAAATAAAAGTTTTATTTCCCTTTGAGTCCCATACAGAAATTTCACATCTTGCTGTATTCTCATCTCTTGAGAGGCTGCATCCAAATGTGGATGCATAAAGCTGACAAGAATTCTTCCTGCATTACATATGCAGAATGTAAGTGGTTACAAAGCCAAAAGTACACGAGTGATGATGATAGTGTTGAATGATGATGAAAGTTTTTTCTTTCTTTTTAGATTTTCCTTTTTTTAAGGGTTTTCTTTCTTTTTGGGTCACCCTGCCTTGGTGGGAAAATGCCAATGTGTTAAAAAAAAAAATGTATTTTTTTTTTCAACAAACTGGCCATATCCAACCGAGGCAGGGTGGCCCAAAAAGAAAGAAAATCCCCAAAAATAAAATACTTCCATAATCATTCAACACTTTCACCTCACTCACACATAATCACTGTCTTGCAGAGGCACCCAGATACAACAGTTTAGAAGCATATATAACATACCCCTCCAAACTGCCAATATCCCAAACCCCTCCTTTAAAGTGCAGGCATTGTAGTTCCCATTTCCAGGACTCAAGTCCGGCTATATAAAAATAACCGATTTCCCTGAATCCCTTCACTAAATATTACCCTGCTCACACTCCAACAGCTCATCAGGTCCCAAATACCATTCATCTCCATTCACTCCTATCTAACACGTTCACGCACGTTTGCTGGAAGTCCAAGCCCCTCGCCCACAAAACCTCCTTTACCCCCTCCAACCTTTTTGAGGACGACCCCTACCCCGCCTTCCTTCCCCTACAAATTTATACGCTCTCCATGTCATTCTAGTTTGATCCATTCTCTCTAAATGACCAAACTACCTCAACAACCCCTCTTTAGCCCTCTGACTAATACTTTTATTAACTCCATGCCTCCTCCTAATTTCCACACTCCGAATTTTCTGCATAATATTTACACCACACATTGCCCTTAGACAAGACATCTCCACTGCCTCCAACCGCCTCCTTGCTGTAGCATTTACAACCCAAGTTTCACACCCATATTAGAGTGTTGGTACTACTATACTTTCATACATTCCCTTCTTTGCCTCCATAGGTAACGTTTTTTTGTCTCTACATATACCTCAATGCACCACTCGCCTTTTTTTCCTTCATAAATCCATCCACTGACACTTCAACTCCCAAATATCTGAAAACATTCACTTCTTCCATACTCCTCCTCCCCAATTTAATATCCAATTTTTCTTTATCTAAATTATTTGATATCCTCATCACCTTACTCTTTTCTATGTTCACTTTCAACTTTCTATCTTACACACAACAATATAGAGGCATATATAAAGATACAATACAAAAAGTGACCTGAAATAATATAATAAACTTCATATAGAATATAATATCAGGGCTCCAATTATATATATACCATCCTATTAAACATCCCATCAAACTACCTATATCCCAAACCCCTCCTTTAAAGTGCAAGCACTGTACTTCCCATTTCCAGAACTCAAGTCCAGCTATATAAAAATAACCGGTTTCCCTGAATCCCTTCACAAAATACAGTAGACCATTATTTAGCACGATCTGAGTATAGCATGATTGAAGAATTGTGAATTGTCCATGGTTATTTACCGGTCTAAGAATCCTCATGCTTTGAAAGGTGTAGATAAAAACACCTTACCAGTAAATTGGAGGTCAAACCAGTCAGCATGGATGACAGAGGAAATATTTATTGACTGGTTTAAGCATCGCTTTATTCCTGAAGTCAAGTTTTACCTGCACAGCATGAACAGCTGTATAATGTATTGCAGGGTAAAACAGCCTAGAGAACCATTACAGAATTTTTGCACACTCCAATACAACCATCAATTTCAATACCAGAACCTCTACCATGCACTTCTGTCGACAATCAACAACCATCCACCTCAGCCCAGTAGGGCCACACCATCCATATCCACTCTCTCCACAATCATCCACACACACCATTACCCACAATTTAAGGTAAGAAATACTATTATTTCTATTGCATTTGTAGTCTTAAGCAGTAATATATCACGACAATGAACTACAATTACATATTCACTTTATTTTTGTAAGATGTGTTGTCTAAAAAAAAGTTGTTTGGCTTTTTGAGGGGCTCAGAGGAACGTAACCCTATTTTTCCCTCAAGTTCTTCAGTTCATTTAGCACGATTTTACCTAACACGACATTTTCAGGAATGTAACTACCGTCCTAAATAACGGTCTACTGTATTATTGTACTCACATTCCAACAGCTCGTCAGGTTCCAAAAACCTTTCGTCTCCATTCACTCCTATCTAACATGCTCATGCACGCTTACTGGAAGTCCAAGCCCCTCACCCACAAAACCTCTTTTACCCCCTCCCTCCAACCTTTTCAAGGATGACCCCTACTCCACCTTCCTTCCCCTACAGATTTATGTTAAAGGGAAAATAACTGATAGTTAAGTACTGAAATGGAAGGCTACAAAAAAGTACCACTGAGAGCAATGAAGATAGACACAGGTGCAAAGCAAGCTTTAATAGTGATAATGTTTTGTTTTATGTAAGTCTTTATAATTTGACTTGATGAAATGATATCACAATAAAAGCCTTCTCTGTCCCTGTGGAATTTTCATCTAAAAATATTATATAAATTCACTTCTTACTTGCATGTGCCAGTCTGATCCTGCTCTGACATATGGGGTAGAACGTGGCTTGTAGTTTAGCCACAGAAGAGACAAATTTACAACCTGTTTCTTTTGAGCAGTAGAGGACAATGACACAGCAGAGGCTGAAGATTTTGAAGCCTGAAAAAATATAGTTTTCTTTATTACATACATACTGTTATATCTTCGAAATTGGTCATCCTGTGTTATTTAAATATTGTAAGAGCATGTGTTCATCACTTAATATTATAGTGCGAAAGTCCCCGTTTATAGCTAAAATAGAGACTTTCGGCGTTATATTATTATCTGTTAATATATGAAAAATACCATGGTATTATCACTATTATTGTTATTATCGCTATTATCGTTATTATCGCTATTATCGTTATTATCACTATTATCGTTATTATCACTATTTTGTAATTATCACTATTATTTTAGTATTATTGTTAGGTAGGATTTCTTGTGTATATAGAGTTTAAGTCTCAGAACCATCTGGTGAATTGTTCAATTGTTTATGTCCGGCTGGCTGACGTGGCTCAGCTGATCCAACCTGACGACACGTCAACAGACTGGCAAGTAGTCAGTCTGCTCCCTGCTCTAGCCCTGACAACTGATCGTATATTGGCTCTTACGGTGTACAGTTTGAATGGTTTTGAGAATTGGACTCTAGAGCTGACTCACTTTGTTCCTCATTACTTTGAAAGACTCTTTTGATATTTATATTCTTGGTCAGTTCAGTAATCCATAGATACTTTACGGCCAGATTCAAAGGTCTTGTTAAATCTTGTACCTTTTGTATTTTGAGTTTACAGTCTTGTTAAGAAAGAGACATAAATATTAATGAGGACTTAGATACAGGAAGAATAATTAAACTTCCTTATTAATGAGACATTTCCATGATTTTGAACTAAATGTATATGGTAAATTTATTGTACAAAGTATTAAGTTACATTAACTACAAAGAGAAGATGAAGTATTGTATTTAAATACTTTAATAAATTTGAATATTTTTCTATGGAGTTTCCCAGTTGAAATTATTTCCCCAAGACTCTAAAATACCTTTAAATAACTCGGATCCAAAAATCTTGTTGCATAAGAAATAAATGGTAACAGGCCACATTTTGAAGTTCTTTAAAAAATTTCTTATTCGCAACACATACATGCATGTATGCATATGTACGTGTGTGTGTGTGTGTGCGAGAGAGAGAGAGAGCATATTAGAAGTGAGAGGAGATAAATGGTTTTTGGGACTTGATGAGCTGTTAGAGAGAGAGTAGGGTAATATTTTGTGAAGGGATTCTGGGAAACCAGTTGGCCAGACTTGAGTCCTGGAGGTGGGAAGTAGAGTACCTGCACTTTAAAAGGAGGGGTTTGGGATATTTGCTGTTTAGAGTGCCATCTAAATTGTCTTATCTATGTGCCTCTGCAAACAGTGACAGTGTGAATGATGGTGAAAGTGCTTTTTTTTTGGGGGGGAGGGGGGGTCACCTGCCTTGGTGGCAGACAGCTAGCATGTTGGAAATATATATAAATAATTTTTTCAATACACTGGCTATCTACCACCAAGGCAGGGAGCCTCAAAAAGAAAGAAACACTTTCACCATTATTCACACATAATCATTGTCTTTGCAGAGGTACCCAGATATGACAGTTTACCCCAAACTGCCAATATCCCAAACCCCTCCTTTAAAGTGCAGTCATTGTACCTCCCACCTCCAGGGCTCAAGTCCAGCTAACTGGTTTCCCTGAATCCCTTCGCAAAATATTACCCTGCTCACACTCCAACAGTTTGTCAGGTCCAAAAACCATTTGTCTCCATTCACTCCTATCTAACACACTCACACATACTTGCTGGAAGTTCAAGCCCCTCGTCCACAAAAACCACCTTTACCCCCTCTCTCCAACCTTTCCTAGGATGACCCTTACCCCATCTTCCTTCCACTACAGATTTATAGACTCTCCAAGTCATTCTCCTTTGTTCCAGCCTCTCTAAATGACCAAACCACCTCAACAACCCCTTCAGCCCTCAGAATAATACTTTTAGTAACTTTACACGTCCTCCTAATTTCCACACTACGAATTCTCTGCATAACATTTACACCACACATTGCCCTAAGACACAACATCTCCACTGCCTACCATCCTCCTCCTTGCTGCAGTATTTACAACCCATGATTCACACCCATATAAGAGTAGATTCCTTTCTTTGCCTCCATGGATAACATTTTTTGTCTCCAGAGATACTTGAAAGCAGCAATCACCTTTTTCCTTCATCAATTTTATGGTTAACCTTGTCCTTCACAAACCCATCTGCTGACAAGTCAACCCCCAAATATCTGAACACATTCACTTCTTCCATACTCCCTCCCTCCAATGTGATATCCAATTTTTCCTTATAAAATACAATACAATTTTCATTTATTTAAATCGTTTGATACCCTCATCACCTTTCTCTTATCTATGCTCACTTTCAAGTTTCTTCCTTTACACACCCTCCCAAACTCATCCACTAACCTTTGCAACTTTTCTTTATAATCCTCCAAAAGCACAGAATCATCAGCAAAAAGTAACTGTGTCAACTCCCATTTTGCATTTGATTCCCATAATTTAATCCCACCCCTCTCTCCAACACCCTAGCATTTACTTCTTTTACAAACCTACTTATAAATATATTAAACAACCATGGTAACATTACACATCCATGTCTAAGGCCTACTTTTACTGGGAAGTAATCTCCTTCTCTCATACACATCCTAACCTGAGTCTAACTCTCCCCATAAAAACTATTTACAGCATTTAGTAACTCACTACCTATTCTATACACTTGCAACATCTGCTACATTGCTCCCCTATCCACCCTATCATATGCCTATTCTAAATCCACAAATGCAATGAAAACTTCCCTACCTTTATCTAAATACTGTTCACATATATGCTTTAATGTAAACACTTGGTCAACACATCCCCTACCATACACTTTACCTGGTATACTCAGTAAACTTTTTTTTTTTTTTTCAACAAGTCGGCCGTCTCCCACCGAGGCAGGGTGACCCAAAAAAGAAAGAAAATCCCCAAAAAGAAAATACTTTCATCATCATTCAACACTTTCACCACACTCGCACATTATCACTGTTTTTGCAGAGGTGCTCAGAATACAACAGTTTAGAAGCATACACATATAAAGATACACAACATATCCCTCCAAACTGCCAATATCCCAAACCCCTCCTTTAAGTGCAGGCATTGTACTTCCCATTTCCAGGACTCAAGTCCGACTATATGAAAATAACCGGTTTCCCTGAATCCCTTCACTAAATATTACCCTGCTCACACTCCAACAGATCGTTCAGGTAAACTTATTCCCCTATAATTTTTACAATCTATTTTATCCCAATTCCCTTTATATAAAGAAACTATACACGTTCTCTGCCAATTCTTAGGTACTACCTTCCCCTCTTTATTACATTTATTGAACAGAAATACCAACCACACCAACATTATATCCCTCCTGCTTTTAACATTTCTGTCATGATCCCATTTGTTCCAGTTGCTTTACCCCCTTTCACTCTATGAAATGTCTCGTGTACCTCCTCACACTCACATCCAGCTCTTCTTCACTTCTAATAGATGTTATACCTCACTGGCCAGTACATGAAATTACTGCCTCCCTCTCTTCATCAACATTTAAAAGTTTCTCAAAATATTCCCGCCATCTTCCCGGTACCTCCAACTCCCTATGTACTAACTTCCCTACTCTGTTTTTAGCTGACAAATCCATTCGTTCCCTAGGCTTTCTTAACCTGTTTATCTCATTACAAAAATTTTTTTTTAAGAAGTTAGCCATTTCCCACCAAGGCAGGGTGATCCAAAAAGAAAGAAAAAACTTTCATCAACACTTTCACCACCATTCATACATAATCACTGTCTTTGCAGAAGCACTCAGATATGACATTTCAGATGTCACTCCAAACAGCCAATAATCCAAAACCCCTCCTTTAAATTACAGGCATTGTACGTACTTCCCACTTCCAGGACTCAAGTCGTGCTAACCAGAAATCACAGTGCAGTTATGTCCCTCCCTGACAGTTTTATTCTTCTTATTTTTAGTAAGCTGTATTGGAAAAGGAGTTACTAGCCCATTGCTCCTGGCATTTTAGCTGACTTTTACAACACACATGGCTTACAGAGGAAAGATTCTTATTCCACTTCCCCATGGATATGAAAGGAAAAGTAATAAGAACTAGAGCTTTTTTTTTTTTTAACAAGTCGGCTGTCTCCCACCGAAGCAGGGTGATCCAAAAAGAAAGAAAATCCCCAAAAAGAAAATACTTTCATCATCATTCAACACTTTTACCTCACTCACACATAATCACTGTTTTTGCAGAGGTGCTCAGAATACAACAGTTTAGAAGCATATACGTATAAAGATATACATATCCCTCCAAACTGCCAATATCCCAAACCTCTCCTTTAAAGTGCAGGCATTGTACTTCCCATTTTTAAGATAAAATCAAAGAAACTCAGATGAGTGTGTATACATAAATGCGTACATCCATGTGTAGTGTGACCTAAGTGTAAGTAAAAGTAGCAAGATATACTGTATATATTAATAATAATAATTTGGAATTTTATTATTCTTGAATGCCTGTTCCTTCAAAAAACTCACAAGCACTAACCTATTAATTAAACTATAGATGCAATAACGAACATGAAATATTAAAGTTGATATCGAAGAGTGACAGAATGATCATCAGGATTATAGGCTTTAGAAAAAAGATGTGCTTTCAACTGAGACTCAAAAGCTTGAACAGCTTCCTGATTCCTAACAAACATCACAAAACAATCTAGGAACTACACAAATTATCAAAACTAAATGCTGAAACCAAATTTACATGAAAAGTGTATTGTCCTATGCAATATGCAGGTTAAGTTAGGTAAGGTTTGTCAGGAAACAAGACGAGTGTTTCCTGATGCAGGTCTTAGTCATATGATGATCTGCTGTTGGAGCTTTAGGTCATCTGACAGAGGCCTTCCACTGGCTTACCAGTCCACCCCTTTAAAAATTATGGTCATAATTATAACCATTGTTCTGCAAGATGCAGTATAGTTTTGTGTGTTCTTAGCAAAGAATGCAAGAATAAAATGGTAATAATGCAAACAACTGCCAAATTTGCCAGATATGGTTTCTAATACTCACCTTGTCACTTATTAAGGGTGTAGTGCTGGACACTTCATTATCTTGTAGTTGTATAAATTTATTTTTGTTTTTATTTTTATTTTTTTTCTTCTTAGGTTTTGATGGAATGTCTGAAGACAAGTTTTCATTCCCTTTTAAATCATTCAGAGTCTCAACATTAAAATTCTGCTTAATATTGGAGATTTTCTTCATTATCTTGGTAGAGTATTCTTGTTTTACTGGGTTTTTCACTAGTCTCTTTGCATTTCCATGTTGAAGCAGATGATGGGATGGTTTTTCCTTTCTGTTTATTCTGATTTTCCCCATTGCTCAACTGTAAGTAATAAAATATAACCAAATAGTGTAATTACATCAAACAATATATTCCGAGAGACACTAATATGCAATACCAAAAATGTTAAGAGAAACTGCCTTGTGATTTAAAATATAAGTACATGTGTCTAAATTATTTACAACTTAGGGACCTGGATGGAAATAAACCCCTTTCATAAATGATAGACACAATTTGCATTAACTGGAAATATTATTAGAGAGCATCTAGACAGTGAAACAAACTTTATTTTTAACTCACTGAGTACAAAATACCTGTTTAACAGGTGAAACATTGTCTAATAGTTTCCATTTACTGTAACTTGTGTGTCTATCATCTATAACTCATTGTTATTCCAGTACCAGCTCATTATAAATCCATTTTGGCATTTACTGTATTGAGACATCCTAGGTTAATCCAATTTCACATTCAATACTGACTAATGTACAGGTATTGATAAAAATATAAAATACAAAATACAGTAGTATTTTTTTTAATTATACACAGTACCATAATACCAATATGTGAGAAAGGAAAAGTCCCTAATATTTTCTAACTGGGAAAGAATTCTCTGATACCTAAATTTTCAGCAAACACTAACCTACCGTAGATAAGATAAGATTTTGTTTAACTTTTTAACCCAGAGGGTTAGCCAACCAGGATAATCCAAGAAAGTCAGTGTGTCAAGGATTATTTTTTTTTATTAATGCATCAGCCATTTCCCACCAAGGCATGGTGACCTGAAAAAGAAGAAGAAACACTTTCATCATCATTCACATCATCAATGTCTTGCTAGAGGTGCACCTATACTACAGTTATAAAACTGCAACATATCGACACCCCTCCTTCAGAGTGCAGGCACTGTACTTCCCATCTCTAGGACTCAAGTCCGGCATGCCAGTTTTCCTGAATCCCTTCATAAATGTGATCTAGCTCACACTACAAAGGCACATCAAGTCATAAGCCCCTACCACGCCTTGCTTCCACTACAGGTTTATACACTCTCCAAGTCATTCTATTTCATTCCATCCTCTTTAAATGTCTGAACCACCTCAACAAACCCTCTTCAGCCCTCTGGATAATACTTTTAGTAACCCTGCACCTACTCCTAGTTCCCATACTACAGATTCTCTGCATTACATTCACACTGCACATTGCCCACAGACACATCATCTCCACTCCCTCCAGCATTCTCCTTGTTGCAACATTCACCACCCATGCTTCACACCCATTTAAGAGCAATGATATAACTATACTCTCATACATTCCCCTCTTTGCTACCATGGATAACGTTCTTTGTCTCCAAAGACTCCTCAGTGCACCACTCACCATTTTTTCCTTCAAAAATTCTATGATTCACCTCATCTTTCACAGACCCATCTGCTTACAAGTACACTCCCAAATATCTGAATACATTCACTTCCCCCATACTCCCTCCCTCCAATCTGACATCCAATCTTTCATTACCTAAATTTTTTATCCTCATCACCTTACTCTTTCCTATGTTCACTTTTAATTTCCTTCTTTTTACATATCTTAACAAATTCATCCACCAACCTCTGCGACTTCTCTTTAGAATCTCCCAAAACCACAGCGTCATCAACAAAAAGCAACTGTGACAACTCCCACACCTCTTACCAACACCCAAGCATTCACTTCTCTTACAACCCCACCTATAAATATACTGAACACCCATGGTGACATCACACATCCCTGTCAAAGGCCTACTTTTAGTGAGAAATAATCTTCCTTTTTCCTACATACTCTAACCTGAGCCTCACTAGCCTCTTAACAACTTTTCACTGCTTTCAGTAACCTACCTCCTATTCCATACAGTTGCAACAACTGCCACACTGCCCCCCTATCCACCCTATCAGATGCCTTTTCCAAATCCATTAATGCCACAAAAACCATGTTTCACTGTAAACACTGTAAACCCTACTCTTCCTAAGGATTCCTTATTCATCGGAGATCCTGCTCTCCATCTTACTCCTAATTCTTTCAATAATAATTCTACCATACACCTTACCAGGTATACTCAAGAGGCTTATTTCCATATAATTTTTACACTCTTTTGTCCCCTTTGCCTTTATACAAGGGAACTCTAAATGCTCCCTGCCAATCCCTAGGTACCTGACTGCTCTTTCATACATTTATTAAATAAAAACACTAACCATTCCAAAATTATATCCCCACCTGCTTTTAACATTTCTGTCTTTATCCCATCATTTCCAACTGCTTTAACCCCTTTCATTCTATCCAGTGCCTCATGCATTTTCCCCACACTCAAAACTGGCTCTTCCTCACTCCTACAAGATGTTATACCTCCCTGCAAAATGCACGAAATCACAGCTTCCCTATCTTCATCAACATTCAACACTTCTTCAAAATATTCCTTCCATCTTCCCGATACCTCTAGCTCTCCTCTCCTATTTTTAACTGTCAAAATCCGTTCATTCCTTAGGCTTTCTCAACTTATTAATTTCACTACATAACTTTTCTTATTCTCAAAAAAATTTAAGAACATAAGAATGGAGGAACACTGCAGAAGGCCTACTGGCCCATGCGAGGCAGGTCCTTATCAAAACGACTACTACCTAAAGCTTCCCTAGAAATAACTCCCGTACCCAATGACACCAATCATCTTACCCACTCTCTCATTTGCTCTCTTTTTACATTCCTTCACCACTCTTAACCTTTCTTTTTTCTCTCCATATACTCCTCCCTTCTTGTATCACTTCTGCTTTGTAAAAAAACTCTCATATGCTAATTTTTTTCTATCTTACTACTCACTTTACATCATCATTCCACCAATCACTCATCTTCCCTCACGCACCCACTTTCCTGTAATCATAAACTTCTGCTGAACACACTAACACAAGATTCTTAAACCTACCCCATACCTCTTCTACTTCATTCCCTATATGTACTCTCATTCACCCATTTTTCTTTCAATAGTTGTTTATATCTTACCCTAACTGCCTCCTCCTTAGTTTCCTCTATTAATATGCACATCCTGAAGTATACCCATCAATCTTTTATCTACCAATACATAGTCCAACAAACTACTGTCATTATACCCTATATCATATCTTATACAGTGGAACCTCGACTTACGAGTGCCCCAACATACAAGTTTTTCGAGTTACGAGCCGTCACTTAGTCGATTTTTTGCTCTGCGTTATGAGCCAAAATCCGAGTTATAATCAAGCTTCAGAATGCTGCCACTAGTTGGTGCAGCAAATGCCACAACATCCGCTCAACAGTGCACGTGTTTACCTTGCCGTGAAAGCATTTCTCTTGTGTTATGCTTGCATTTTGTGCAGTTATTTTGCCAAATTTCTTTTTTCCAACCATGGGTCCTAAGAAAGTAATTGCAAAGGACAGTGCTGAGAAGAAAAAGAGGATGATGTCCACTGAATTAAAGAAAGAAATCATAACCATGAGCGAGGTATGCGGGTTGTGGACTTGGCCAGTGGACCCTCAGATATCAGCCATTCTGGACATAGGCCAAATCAGATTTTGGCCATGTTTTTTTGGCCAAAATTCTATCCTGGATTTTGGCCAGCAACTCCAAAATCGGCCATATTGTACACGTCCACCCACCACACATTTCGTTATAATGCATTGTTTTTTGTGGTAGTTTATTGAGTGCGACTGCAAAATAAGCCACCATGGGCCCAAAGAAACACGTTACATAGTATAAAAAACATGCAATGTTTATATGCAATGTATGTTTAATAATAATCACTCTTGGGTACATTAACCCTTAAACTGTCCAAACGTAGATCTACATTCACTCACGTGGCGCTCCGAATATATTTTGAAAAATTAAAAAATAGTTTTTTCTTTAACCCTTAAACGGGGGTCGTCCCACAGTTACTAAAAACAACAGACATAGCCCCACTCCACAAAGGGGGCAGTAAAGCAACAGCAAAGAACTACAGACCAATAGCACTAACATCCCATATCATAAAAATCTTTGAAAGGGTCCTAAGAAGCAAGATTACCACCCATCTAGAAACCCATCAGTTACACAACCCAGGGCAACATGGGTTTAGAACAGGTCGCTCCTGTCTGTCTCAACTATTGGATCACTACGACAAGGTCCTAAATGCACTAGAAGACAAAAAGAATGCAGATGTAATATATACAGACTTTGCAAAAGCCTTCGACAAGTGTGACCATGGCGTAATAGCGCACAAAATGCGTGCTAAAGGAATAACAGGAAAAGTCGGTCAATGGATCTATAATTTCCTCACTAACAGAACACAGAGAGTAGTCGTCAACAGAGTAAAGTCCGAGGCAGCTACGGTGAAAAGCTCTGTTCCACAAGGCACAGTACTCGCTCCCATCTTGTTCCTCATCCTCATATCCGACATAGACAAGGATGTCAGCCACAGCACCGTGTCTTCCTTTGCAGATGACACCCGAATCTGCATGACAGTGTCTTCCATTGCAGACACTGCAAGGCTCCAGGCGGACATCAACCAAATCTTTCAGTGGGCTGCAGAAAACAACATGAAGTTCAACGATGAGAAATTTCAATTACTCAGATATGGTAAACATGAGGAAATTAAATCTTCATCAGAGTACAAAACAAATTCTGGCCACAAAATAGAGCGAAACACCAACGTCAAAGACCTGGGAGTGATCATGTCGGAGGATCTCACCTTCAAGGACCATAACATTGTATCAATCGCATCTGCTAGAAAAATGACAGGATGGATAATGAGAACCTTCAAAACTAGGGAGGCCAAGCCCATGATGACACTCTTCAGGTCACTTGTTCTATCTAGGCTGGAATATTGCTGCACACTAACAGCACCTTTCAAGGCAGGTGAAATTGCCGACCTAGAAAATGTACAAAGAACTTTCACGGCGCGCATAACGGAGATAAAACACCTCAATTACTGGGAGCGCTTGAGGTTCCTAAACCTGTATTCCCTGGAATGCAGGAGGGAGAGATACATGATTATATACACCTGGAAAATCCTAGAGGGACTAGTACCGAACTTGCACACGAAAATCACTCACTACGAAAGCAAAAGACTTGGCAGACGATGCACCATCCCCCCAATGAAAAGCAGGGGTGTCACTAGCACGTTAAGAGACCATACAATAAGTGTCAGGGGCCCGAGACTGTTCAGCTGCCTCCCAGCACACATAAGGGGGATTACCAATAGACCCCTGGCTGTCTTCAAGCAGGCACTGGACAAGCACCTGAAGTCAGTACCTGACCATCCAGGCTGTGGTTTGTATGCTGGACTGCATGCAGCCAGCAGTAACAGCCTGGTAGATGAGGCCCTGATCCGCCATGAGGTCTGGTCACAGACTGGGCCGCGGGGGCGCTGACCCCCGGAACTCTCTCCAGGTAAACTCCAGGTAATTTACACTATGTACAATAACTGTACTTATGTGTACATGTGAGACAGAGTATAGACAGATAGCCAGAGACAGCTAAAGCAAGCCAGCTGGCCAGCCTGCCGAATACAAAGGAACATAAGAAAGAAGGAACACTGCAGCAGGCATACTGGCTCATGCAAGGCAGGAACATGTCACTCCCCCCCCCCCAGCTTAGGCCAATGGCCCACCTAGTCAGGTCACATCCATTGAAGGAAGGAGCACGACATCAGACCTATTAGCACAAGCTAGTCAGGTCCAACTCACACCCACCCACACTCACTCATGTATTTATCTAACTTATTTTTACTTTCCTCTTAAAATGGGAGTGTTAATGTGACATGGCATCAGTGAATTCCTGGTGTTTGCCATGTTATTTGCTCTAGCTGGCACTCAATTGAACTGGTGCTCCCACAAGTGCTCCCAGATTTTTTTAATAGTGCACACACTGAGTGCACAGACCCATTCTTTCATGTCTACGCGACTCAAGCCTATTGCGCCAAATTTGAAGGAATGAAAAATAAAACTTTGATCTACATTTGGAGCGCAAATGTAGATCTATGTTTGGACAGTTTAAGGATTAAATGTCTTATTTTAGGTTAATATAGACATTTTCATTAATCCATCTATGATATTTTCTTCAAAATTATAAAAAAAATACATTACATAGCATATAAATATGCAAGGTTTATATGCTATTGAGTGGTGAGTCGGGTGAAGAGTAAACATTACGTTTTCTCTGACTCAGTGTTAGAGAAAACTGTGAATCTAGCGTCTGGCCCAGTCACCGCCATTCATACATGTTTGTTTACAATTCTCAGCATGAATTATTCATTACTTTCCCTTTGTTTATGATGGCATCTAAAGGTAGTTGTTAGAAACAATTAAACTCAGTGACCATGGTAATAATATGGCCCTGGGGGGCTACATACAGGTATGTACCTACATCTACCACTGCCTACAATGACTTCCTACAAATAAATACTACTCACCTCTTGCCCTCCATTAAGACTACAAATATTTTAAGGTAAGTAATGAATGTACTGTGGCAGTAAATGACAAAGAAGGGAAGTAACCCTAGAGAGGGTTCTGATACCTTATGGAGGGGGATTCCCAACTCCCTCTCCCCTCATTGCCTTCTTCAATACATCAACAAGAGTCTTCAATAAAGGTATGTAATGTTCATTTATCATTAAAATTTGTGCTTTATATATATTTCTCATTGTTTTCTGTATGTAAAACTATAGCTAATCTTTAAAAAATGTATTTTTTGTTAAAAACTTTGGGTGTCTGAAACGGATTAATTTGATTTGCATTAATACTTATGGGAAATATTATTTCAGTTTTCGGCCTTTTCGGATTATGGTCAATAACTGAGGGTCCACTGTACCAGTGTAGTACTTCTACAATATGTACAAAACTAAAGCAGAAGGAGTTGATAAAGGCTATAGCACCAGCCAAGCAATAAAGTGTAGTACATGTATTAAGAGAGTAGCAATTACGTTCAGTGATAAAGTGCAGCATTAAGAGTGTAGCAAGTAACCTATCTTTTCCACCCTCCACCTCCATCTCCACCAGCATCTGTTCTCCAAGGTAAATACATACACTTTATAAAACCAGTTTATTTCTTTACATTCTCTAATATATTTTATTATGTTTTTATACAATATTTCTTATTTATAAATAAACTGTGTCAGTGTTTTCCTTATGAAACTAGTGATCCAGTGCAGTTAGCCTCACAAACACTCCATTTTCAGAAGGGGAAGACTGGAAAGATATGGTCAGAGTGGGAGCAGGAGTGGCCGCCACCACTCGTGACATAATGACATATTTTATTCATTCTAGAGTATGTATCATGTTTCTATGTTATTTATATTGTTTACTATGTCATATTAGATCAATTATGATAGATAAACAAGCCATAGTAGAGCTGATATTAGCATTATATTGAAGTATTTTTTTCTGCCTCCCAAGAGCAGGAATTCCACTGGAACAGATTAATGGCATTTCAATTAATTTCAACGAGGAAAATTGTTCTGATATACGAGAAACTGAGTTATGAGCTAGGTCACAGAACGGATTAAACTCGTAAGTCAAGGTACCACTGTATACTTATTTATCCTTTTTTCCTAAAATATTTATTACCTGTTACCAAACCCCTTTCTATACAAGGTTCAGTCAAAGGCTCCCCATTATCATTTACACCTGGCACCTCAAACTTACTTACTACACCCTCACTAACCATTTCTCCCTCTTTAGCATTTAGGTCCCCTACCACAATTACTCTCTAATATGGTTCAAAAGTTCCTAAACACTCAACGAGGATGGGCTGCCTTATTTCCATTGGGATCCTTAAATTTTGTCCCCCAGGATGTGACCCACATCAGTCAACTAACACCCAGGTACCTACTTGCATGATAGGTGAACAGGGGCAGAAGGTGTAAGGAAACACCCAATGTTTCCACCCGGCCAGGGACTGAACCACAGACACTCAGTGTGTGAGGTGAGCATTGCCTACCAGGCCACGGGACACCATAGTATGTTATTGGATAACTTGTGGTTATATTTTAAGAAGTCACTGAACTTGCCAATTGCATAATTCACTTACGATGATGATGATGATGATGATGATGATTAATAAACTTACTCTCAATATTGACAAAACCTACTTCCTACAGTTTGGAAACAGAACCACTGATGTCCCTCTTAACATAATGATAAACGGATCACCTATCACAAAGCTAACAGAGGGAAAATTCTTAGGAATACATCTTGATAATAGACTGAAATTTCAAACACATATACAACACATTTCCAAGAAAATCTCGAAGACCGTAGGCATTCTATCGAAGATACAGTACTATGTTCCACAGTCAGCCCTCCTGGCCCTATATCACTCACTCATTTACCCCTATCTCACCTATGGAATTTGTGCATGGGGCTCAACAACAATAAACCAGCTCAGACCATTAATTACTCAACAAAAGGCTGCAGTCAGAATGATAACAAATTCCCACTACAGACAGCACACTCCACCAATATTCAAAACTCTAAACTTACTCACTGTACAAAATATACATACTTATTATTGTACCTACTACATACATAGAACACTTAACTCGGATATAAACCCTCTCCTCAAACTTCTCCTTACCAACCTCAAAAGAACACATGGCCATAACACAAGACACAGATCACTCTTAGATGTTCTTCGTGTCCATGTCACACTGTGTAAAAATGCAATTCACATAAAAGGCCCAAAAATCTGGAATTCATTACCTGTGAATATAAAAGAAACACTGTCTGCTTATCAATTCAAGACTCTTCTTAAAAACCACTTACTCACCCACAACTAAATAAATACTGATTAACTGTATCTCATAAATGTATAACCTGTGACCCTATCAAACTACATTACCTAATAGAATACTCCATTCTCCTGAATGCTCAGTAACTCATCAAAGGTGTTACAAATTTGTACAACAATAAAGCTTCTTATTTCAAATATTCATTTGTACTTCATGTTGTAATTTGTTTACTGTATTTTTACCACTGAATCTATCATTGCTTAGTTAATCTTAAGTTAATTTTAAGCTGCCCATAATGCTCTGCATACAAGGGGCTTTTGACATGTACACTCAACCACTGTATTTCTTTTGTACAACTATGTATCTATGTATTATGTCCAAATAATAAATAAATAAACAAATAAATAAATAAATAAAATAAATGTCTTTGATTTAAAAACTTGGCGACTCTTCTGGATACTACATATACCTGGAGAGGGTATCGGGGGTCAACGCCCCCGTGGCTCGGTCTGAGACCAGGCCTCGTGGTGGATCATCGTCTGATCAACCAGGCTGTTACTGCTGGCAGCACGCAAACTGACATACGAACCACAGCCTGGCTGGTCAGGTACTGACTATAAGTGCCTATCCAGTGCCTTCATGAAGACAGCCAGGGGTCTATTGGTAATCCCCTTTATGTATGCTGGGAGAACATAAGCAAACATGTGAACAAGGAACTATCATTTATTTAATAAGAGGAAAGTGCTAAACCCCGTAAGGATCATATAGCAGCAGAGGAATGGGAGATATTCATGTTCCACCCATGGGAGGCAAAAGTAAATATGTATATACAGTTCTTTGGATCAAGAACCCCTGACAGACATCACAGTGCCTCTCTACAGGGGTTGGAACAACCGTTATGTAAAATAATTGTAATTTATCCCAAAAACTGAGTAAATGTACCCAAATAAACTTACTTTTGAGCATGCACTTATAAGAAATAATCCTTATCCTAATTATATCAAACCTGTAACTAATATGAACTTTTCAGTTTTTTAACTTTTATGTATACTTCATCAAACTAAAATATTTTAATATTACAGCTTTTTATTTTTAACTTACTTAACTGCGTATGTTGAACCAAATGTTGCCAAAGTTATAAATTGTTTACACTTGCTATACAAGCTTCTTTTTTCGTAATTCTCACGGGTAAATTATCTATTTCTCTCTAAGCTTTTATCTTGAGGTCACATGTTTCTTACTGAAGAGAAGTTAGAAAGCACCAGCCAGCGTGCTCTTATTGTTGTGCTTCTTAAGGATCACTGAAGTGTACGCCTTATTGAGTCCAGCTTCCCTAGACTCCGCCACTAATGTTGCCCAAAAATGGGTGAAAATTAGAAAGAAAAAAAATTTCATCCGGAAAGAGCACCGGGAACATAAAATTTTAGAGTAAGAAAAGGCCCCATTTAGCCCACCGGGCACTTTACAGGAGGGACACCTGGCACTACAGGAGGGGCACCTGGCACTACAGGAGGGGCACCTGGCACTACAGGAGGGACACCTGGCACTACAGGAGGGACCTGGCATACAGGGGGGGACCTGTTATGGGTTATTTAGCCAGCCCCTTTTTTTTCCGCTCTGGGAAAATTCTTGATCGGTCTTTTTTTGTGAAGTTGGTTACTGAACTCATTTTGTGAGTGTGGGCGTCCCTTGTGTTTGGGTTTACAAGGGGCGTCCAGGATGAGGTGGGAGCCCCTCGTACTGGGGCTTGACAAGGGCCCCCAGATGAGTGGGCGCCCCTCTGTGTGAGGCTTGACAAGACGTCCCCCGGATGAGTGTAGGCGTCGCTCTGGCCAGGGTGACAAGGGCGTCCACCAGTGAGAGGGGGGCGTCCTCTGTGTGGGGCTTAAAAAGGACGTCCACCGGATGGAGTGGGGGCGTCCCTCTGTGCGGGGCTTGACAAGGATTCCCCCGGATCAAATTGGAAACTAAAAGTTTCTTATTTACAAAGGAAATTTTTTGTTCCTTTTCTGTCACGCTCACCCTTGGGAACTTTTTCCCTCTCCCATCGAGAACCCCCTTACGGTTATGTGTCAGTGGCTCTCATAACCTAAAAAAGAAAAAGAAGAAAACGTATTTAGATAAAGGTAGGAGTTTTCATTGTTTATGGATTTGAAAAGGATATATAGAGTGGTGAGAAGCAATGGGGCAGTTGTTGAAGTAATGGAATAGGAGGTAAGTACAAAAATGCTGAAAAGAGATTTTTAGGATAGTGGGCTCAGGTTAGGGTGTTAAGGAGATGGGCCCCAAAATGTATCAGGTTTTGGGGCTTAGGGATGGGCACAATGAGATATTGGTCCAGGAATAGGAAAAACGCCTCAAGTAACTGAGATTACAGTGCCAACAAAGGGTTATCAGGACGTGCCTTAGAGTTTGAGAATATCATGGTTTTTCCCACCCTTCCGGAGCAGTTGATCGCCCTTTGGGTTATGCTTTATCTAATTCATACCGGTAAAGGGCATCACTCTCATAATTTTTTGGTAAAAAAAAATTAATCAGTTTAACTTTTTCAGAAGCTCTCAAATTTTTTTTCAAATAGAGATGGAAGGTTTTCTGCCTGGTTTTTGTAGTTTAATTTGTTTAATATGTTTTTATGACCCATACCCATCCTTGGGCGGTAGTCAAAAGTTACAGGGGAATTTTGGTGGGACTGGATCCAAATTTTTTGATAGCTGAGCAGTTACGAGGTAATGAACTCCAATTTCAAGGTAATGAATACAATTTACAAAGGAAATGAACTCCGGGTAGGTTGGTCACAATCTGACATTTACAAAGGTTTTTTACAGATTACGAGGTATTTAATGGGCCGGGACTGGGCCCCAAATTTTTTGATAGCTAAAAAATAGGTAAAAAGGTAATGAGCTCAAATTTAAAAAAAGGTTTAATAAATTTCTGTAAAATTGCTATTCTTTTATACATGCTAAAATCATTAACAAATTTAGAGAAATGAGCAATTCACACTTCCACCCCTGTCACAACGAAATGATTTATTGGTGCAAATATTGATTTTTGAGTCCCACACCACCCCACACACACACACACACACACACACACACACACACACACACCAAACACACACCACACAACACACAAAACACACCATACATTGAGTGTTTTGTATGAAAAATTATGGAGAGTTATAGGGGGAGTGATGGAGCACCTGGAAATGAACAAGGTTAAATCCCAAACCCAGCACGGATTCACGGAAGGAAAATCCTGTGTCACAAATTTTTTGGAGTTTTTGATAAAATAACAGAATTTTAAGCCGAGAGAGGGGGGGTGGGTTGATTGCATCTTCTTGGACGCAAGAAGGCCTTTGACACGTTCCTCACAAGAGATTAGGCAGAAGCTAGAGCTCAGGCGCTATAACAGGAAGGGCACTGCAAGGATCAGAGAATACCTGCAGGGAGGCAACAACGAGTCTGGTATGTAATGATGTATCCAGTGGGCACCTGTGACGAGCGGGGTCCCACGGGGGTCGGTTAGGACCGTGCTTTTTTGGTTATGTGAACGAATGAGGGAAAAGGGTTTAGATCAGAAGTGCCCCGTTTGCAAAAGAGTGAAGTTAATGAGGAGAAATTAAAACTGATGAGGCCAGGCAGGATTCAAAGAGACCTGGGCGACTGGACACCTGGTCCCCGCAAATGGTTCTGAATTTAATCGGGGCCAAATGCAAAGTCATGAAAATAGTGGAAGGGCACAGAAAACCACAGACGGTAAGGCTAGGTGGCCAAAGACTGCAAACCTACTCAAGGAGAATGATCTTGGGGTGGTATAACACCGAGCATGTTCGGAAGCACACATCAATCGTAACTGCTGCAGCATATGGGCGCCGGCAAAAACCTGAGAACAGCATTTCCCTACCTTAGTAAGGAATCGTTCAAAACACTATACACCGTGTTGTCAGGCCAAAAGGGTTGCAGACCTGTTTGGAACCCCAATTTATAAAGCCCCGTCAAGAAATAGAGAAAGTACAAAGGTTTGCCCAAGGTTAGTTCCAGGGTAAGGGGGAAAGTCCATGAAAAAAGATTAAGGGAAATCGGCCTGACGACACTGGAAGACGGGGGGGGCAGGGGGGGGACTGATAACGACTTTTTAAAAAATGGGTGGAATAGACAAGGTGGGGCAAAGACAGGAGTTCCCGGGAGGGGAAACAGAAACAACTGGCCACAATTGGAAGTTGAAGAACAAAGAGTCGAGGAAAATTAGGAAGTATTTCTTCAGTCATAGGTTGTAAGGGGTGAATAGCTAGAAAAAAGAGTAGTGGAGGCGGAACCAACAAAGTTTTAAGACGAGGTTTGTAAAACTCGTGGAGCAAGGAGAGGAGGGCCCGTGCAAAACCTGTGAAAAGGCGGGGCCCGGGTAAAATCGCCCCCCGCAACCCCAAAAAGGTGAGTACAAATGGTGAGTCACCCACAAAAACCCCCAAAAACCCCACCACCACACCACACACCCCACCCACACACACACAACCACACACCCCACCACACACACACCACACACACACACACACAAAATCTATTTGAAGGTGAAATATAGTACGTTAAAACTAACAGATATCTTGGTGTGATGTACCCTTTTTAAAAAAACCATTTACACAACCCAAAAAAGAAATGCAAAAGAGGTAAATTTCAAAGCTGTTGCTGGCTACATCCCAAATATGGTGCTAAAGTGAGAATCTGAGAAATTTTGTACATAGCCCATGTTGGTCCTTAATTGATTTATGCTGCTCCCCTGTTGATATTAGCTAGAGAAATTCTCTCCCACCTTTGGGGTTAATGCAAATGAAGCTCTCAGGATTATTTTTTGGCTTCCCCGATCTACAAAAATTCTTAACATAAAGAAGGAGCTTGGTATTTCTAGTACAGTGATAGGATGTTAAAATTAACACTGTACTCGGTTTAGATGTTGAGAACGAACCAGCACTGCACGTGAATCTTACCAAGTTTAGAGGTAAATACACCAGATCTAAATGGATTGTGAAAACGTGCAATGTAAGTTTTATAACCTGCTGAACTGTATCACTGTAGGAAAAAAAAAAAAAAAAAAAAAAAAAAAGAGCATTCACCCCTCATGGAAGATGTGTTCATTTAATATCACATACCTACAGCCCTCCCAAGAAATTAGCTGAATTTCCTTTAAAAAATTTTTTAGGCAATGGCTGAAAAAATTTTTCCCAGGGTGAATAAGTTTCCGTTTATCCTGATATTAAAGGGCCCAAAAGTTTGTCTTTTCCCCCCCCTGTTAAGAACATTTTTTTAAAACAAAAAATTAAAGGGGAACCCAAAAAATTGGAAAAGGCCAAAAGTAATTTTTTCCCCTTTGTTGGGACCCTTCCCCCCTTTTTCCCAATTTTTTCGTTCCTTTTTGGGGTTTTTTTTGGGGAAAAAAACCCCCCTTTTTTTTTTTTTAAAAGGGAAAAAAAAAAAAAAATTTTAAAACCGGGCCAGGTTAGAACAAAAATTTACAAAAAATTAAGAAACTAGGTCCCACACACATTGGATTCCCTTGAAAAAAAGGATTTTTTAAAAATCCCAAAGGAGATGTGAAATAAATTTTTAAAAGGCTCTTGGAATAATTTAGGGAGAAGAAAATAAAAAAATAGTTATAAATTTTTTAAAGCCCGATGGATTAAAACCCATTAAAAACTAGTTTGATGGTAATTGAAAAAAAATTTGGGGAGTGGCCGGGCTTACCTTTTTAAAAGTACTTCTGCTTTTTGGGAGAAAAACGTGATGTTTAAAAAAATAAAAATTTTTGGATCAGGATTGGCACCCCGCACAGGAATTGTCCTTTTGGGGGAAAAAGAAACGAAAAATAGTGAAGCAAAAATTTAAATGAAAATAAGTAAGAAATAAGAAAAAACCCTTTTTGCTTTGAAAAAAAATTTAGATATGAGTTAAACCAAGTTTTGGGGCCCCTTTGGGGGTTTCCCCTTTTTTTTATTGGTCTCGCAATTTAAAGGAGGAAAAGGGCCCCCAAAAACCCCCTTTGGGAAATTTTAAAGGCGGGGTTAGAAGAAGGAGTTTTTTCCCCGGTTTTAAAAGGGGGAGGGGGGGATTGTAAGGGTCCCTTTTTTTTTAAAATTTTTTTTTTGAGGGTTTAAAAAAAGGAAAAAATGCTGGGTGCAAAAGGGGGGGGAAAAAAGGGGTTAATAAAAAAAGGGGAGTTTTTTAAAGTTGGGGGTATTGGGAGGGGTTCAAAGGGCCAAGGGGGTGGGTTTGGAACAGATAACAATGCGCCCACAATTGGTAGTGAAGGACACAAATGAGTCAGAGAGA